CACTGATAACATAAAAGAAACTTCTTTAACAACAGAAATAAAAAGCCCTATTTCAAACAACAACATTAACAATAACCACGATCTAGACATTTTAATGTATGAAATAAAAAAATAAAACTTCAGAGACTGATTCTTATTGCCATAAGGTGCAAATGTTAACACTCACACCAAACTCATGGACACATACAAAGATATCAATCTACTTTAAAGTGTCTAAGTATCTTGTTCAAACTGCAGGAAAAGTTAAAAATGAGCATGGAATTCTATTACTGCCCGAAAAAAAAACTGGAAACCCACTTTCACCAGACACAATTAATTTAGTGATTAACTTTTATCAAAGTGATGAATTTTCAAAGTTGATGCCAGGACCAAAAAAACAAAATTTCTCATTGATGCCATTTGGTGGAATAAAAGTAATAAAGATTTCATGGCACTAATTGTTTGTTCTCTTGAAAATGCAAATGTATTGTGCATCGATGTAACCAATGCTCTGGTATTGAAGCATTAAAACATTTAATAGTGCAGGAGTTTTTGGACCATAAGCTCAAAGAAGATGTAACATTTAAGCAATAGCAGAGTACCAATCGTACAATACTACTATTACAATCATTGTCACAAGATGAATTTAATGATTTATTATGTGACAGCATTGACAACCTTACCACTCATTCATATATTGCAAATACACAAAACAGATACTTAAAAACTGTAAAGAAAATCTTAACCAAAACAAATGCCTAATTTTAGGAGATTTTGCTGAAAATTATCAATATGTTGTTCAGGATTAAGTTCAAAGTTATCACTGGAACAAAAGTCAATGTTCACTATTTACAATTGTACTTTATTTTATAGAGAAAAAAGTTCTCAAACATAATTCTTTTTCTTACCTTTTAGAAGATGTTAATCATGACACAAGATTTATTTACAAGACTCAAAAAGATATAACTACATAAAAATCTACCTGATGTATCAAGTGTGAAACACTTTTGCGATGGTTGTGCAGCACAATACGAAAATTTTTAAAAATTTACCAATCTTTGTCATCACAGTAAAAACTTTTATTTAAATGCTGAATAGATATTTTTTGCTACCAGTCATGGTAAATCTCCTTGTGATGGTATTGGTGGGACTGTTAAAAGAGTAGTATGTCAAGAAAATCTAAAACAAATAACTACTGGGCAGATTTTAGATGTTAACTTAATGTACTCCTTTTGTAAAGCCAAGATAAATTTCGTCTAAAAATGAAATTGATCAAACACAAGCACAATTAGAAAAAAGATATTTATGTGGCCCTGCATCCTTATAACAGTTCCTGGCATAAGGATGCAGGGCCATCCTGAAAAAGGGTGTCCCCCCAAGTTGTCATGTAAGCATTTGAGTTAGCACATTGAGCAAGTTTTGAAATATAGTTGGCAAATTGCGAATATTAAAGGGATCCCCAACTGCCGAGACAAGTTGTGTTCATATTAAAGAAAATGTTTTAAAAAAATTTCTGGGCTAAATTTTATTGATTAAAACTATATAATGAATGCACACCATTAAGTTTAAAATTTAGTCTGTACAATGTTAGCAACAATTTACAGACTTGATAATTTATTCTATGCGTGTTTTATATATAACAGTTTCAGTATATGACATCATCGTATAAATTTTTTCTTTCAAGATGTCGTATTATTTTTTTGCCACATCTCCAAACCATGTTAATTGTATAACTTTTTACTGAATCCCAAAAATTAGTTCATGATGCAATTAAAAATTAAATTTATAAAAATAATAAAAATAAAAATTTAATATATAACGAATATTTACAGTAAAACGTAGTTAACTAAATATAAACTAGATACTAAAAGGATAATTTTACAAAAGCATATAAATTAATTTAAAGTATAAATTGAATAAAAAACGAGTGACTTAAATAAAACATGTAAACTGAACTAAGTCGAAAATAAATATTGAACGAATTATTTAACTAATGACCGTTCAAATCAAACTACGTTAAAGTTAAAACAAATATTTGTACTAAAATATACAAGAAATAGTTATAATATAAATATAAAAACAAAGAATCGCATTACCTTGTTTGTTACCAGCCAAACAAAAATCTTTTTGTAGAAACCGCACATTTTTTTGAATAACATTTGAATAGCATAACATTGACAATTATTTAAAATTCGATAAATAACACGCATCATTAAATAATAAGACATGCAAAGTGCTTAAACCATTGTTTTTATAAGTAGTAACTAAAACATTAGGTCCAAAACAAACTTCGAATAATGAATAAAAAGAATACAAAATACTTTGTATTCTTTGATTCTCAAATTACTTAATACTTAACACTTCTACAAGTTTTACTGTTTTATTTTATAACTAAATTTAAAGAAGTTTTTTTTATGAAAGATTATTCAAGATTTTTTAACTTTGTGATAACTTTTTCATAATAACATAATATAGCTCTTATTTTTCCTTGATTGTGTAGAGAATTATTGAACCTTTAGAACAAACAAATTCTATATGTCTAGAAAAGAAATTTATGTACAAAACAAGATAAACTGTAAAGCATACTTAAAAGCTGCTACCAGTGGTTTGCAGTAGTAGCAACCATAACTAAATGTAAATTAAACAAAACAAACAACTCCTTTAAACCATATGAACTAAATATAAAAAACGAGAAACCACATCATACTGCCTTTGTTTTATACTGCCTATATTAATCACAAAATATGCCATGATTTTGGCTGGCTTCTAAAAAGTAATAATAAAGCAAGTAAAAAAAAAATTATAAATATAAATATATATATATATATATATATATATATATATATTTGTACTAAATCACAAATAATTTTTGTGATTAAGTAAAAAATTATACAAATATTTGATTTTCTGATTGTAGTAGAAAAAATACTTAAAAAAACATTTCGGTATATGACATCATCGCAATATCTTAAAAAGATATTGCGATGATGTCATATACCGAATCTGTTATGAATTAACACGCATGGAATAAATTATCAAGTCTGCAGAGTGCGGCTAACATTATACAGACCCCAAGAACCAAAAAAAAAAATGGAGAAAGCAAGCTTTGACTAAAATGATCCTTTTAATTTTGTTGGTATACATTCATTATTTAGTTTCAATCAAAAAAATTTAACCCAAATGTTTTTTTTTTAAACACTTTCTTTAATATGAACACAACTTGTCTTGGCAGTTAAGGATCCCTTTAAGGATGGCCCTGTAAGGATGTATCATCATTTTATTCCAGTTGCATAAAATACTATAAGTTATAAAAAAAACAAGTATTGATACATGTATTGAAATATTTGAAATCATTATAAAAAAAGCAAACATAAAAAAGAGACTTAATTAAACATTAAAAAAATGGATTATATTGCATGTTTTTATGACGGATTTTGGTTGGTAGGGATTGCTGAAGATGTAAGTGAGCTTAATATAAAAATCATATTCATGCATCCACATGGACCTGGTAAAAACTTCTTTTTGGCCGATGAGAAATGATTAGTGTTGGGTGCTCAATTCTGAAGGTATATGACTAATTTCTACAACCCACAACAATATCAGGTCGTACATACAACATATCTGCTTTAGATTTGGAGAATATAAGCAGTTGGTTACAAAAAAATAATAATAATACATTTAAAACAATTTTGTTGTAATTTTATTTTGCATTTTGTAACCTATTTTGCATTTAGAATTTGTCTTTCTATTTTTCTTATTTCATATCTTTGGATGGAAGGCTGGGAAGGAGGGGGTTTAAATAAATCCCACTGTCCTCTTTTTATTCCAATGACTATATTAGTCTTAAACTACTAAATAATACCATAAAGATATTGGTTGTTAAAATTTTTTAAAAAACGTTTCAATATCTTCGGTTTAAAAATTTATGATTATAAAAGATCTCAGTTTTGAGTGCTCACTTTGAAATAAGAAGTAAATTTTTATTGATTTGAAATAATGAAAATAAATTCTTAAACTTAGAATTCAATTTAATAATAAATAAATTTTGTTTTTTTAATTGAATTATAATAATTATTTATTATTAATTTATTTTATGTATAAAAATAAATAACACTATTTGATGTTTTATTCAAATAAATGTTTTAAAAAACATTTTAACTGAATTTTTAAACGCAAATTTTTATCAAGTATTAAAGAGACAATTGATGAATCTAATTTTTTTCAGTAGACATTTGATTATTTTATAATAAAATAATGGTATACAATTAAACCTTTTACTCGGGATTTTGGGCCACAGTCTTCATTTTACCTCCAAAAAATATGAATTTACAAGTCAATGATTTTGAACAAAGTTGAATAAACGAGGCATGCTGAGACAATCGAGCCTTGATGGTGCTATTTTTGGATTCCTTAAGCAAAAATCTATTGGGATACCAAATTTAAGGACATTTCCCTAAGCTATTATGAAGATACTATATGTCAAATTTGCTTTGTAGTCTCTTAAGATAATCACTAAAATGTTGAGTCAGCATTATTTCAACTGACAATATCTCTGGAATCCATGTGGGTTTTTAACTAATATTTTCGCAGTTATTATTTTTTTAATATGGACTGCAAGTGAGGTAAAAATGAACAAATTCTGAGTATTATAGGTGTCGAAAATGCTTTTTTTTTTGGATGATTTCATATGGAATTACCCATTAGGCTAATGCGTTAAGCATTTTTTATTTCAAACAAGGCCTGCAATAGAGTAACAACCAAGAGAGTAACAACTTTTTAATGTTGAAAAGAAAGTTTTCAACATTAAAATTTGAACAAAATAATGAACTTCCAATGACAATGATTCTGCTTTCTTTTTTTTTTTTTTTCACATAAATAAAACATAATATATTCTGCTCAATTTAATTTTTGAAATTCCCTCCTCCTAACTATGGCTATTGAAATATGATGTCATTAGAGACATTTTGAGAAATACAAATGTAAATTTTTAGTATTTTAATTTAATTAAATTTTAAACTTACCACAGATGCAAATAGTTCATCATTGGCATCATGTGGATTCCATTCTATAACAGAAGGATCCCATTTGTTAGAGACTGCATGTTTTTTTGAAATTCCTAGGTTATCTAAATCCACAACAAGAAATCCTTTTCTCCTGTAGAAAAAAAATATATAAATGTACGAATAAAAAACTATTTTTTACTTTTTTTTAGAATGCTTGCTTCATAAATAAGAAGTTCTGAGTGAACCCCACCACATCACTGGTAACCCCACCACATCACTGGTAACCCCACCACATCACTGGTAACCCCACCACATCACTGGTAACCCCACCACATCACTGATTCAACTTGTTTTTATGTACAGCGGCTGGTTTTTCTAAGTTGAATAATTGAAAGAGAGTTTTTTAGACAACATTTTTTTTATTCATATATATTGATTTTTGGATTAACAAATATATGACTTCAAATAAATTATTAAATAACCAAAAAATAAATATATGTAACCAAAAAATAAATATACGTAACCATAAAATAAATATATACAACCATAAAATAAATATACAAAGCCATAAAATAAATATACATAACCATAAAATAAACATGCATAACCATAAAATAAACATACATAAAATAAATAACCAGTATTGACTAAATGGTTAAGAAATCAATAAAGTGATCAAAAAAGTGAAGAGCATAATTCAAAGGTTTTGAAAATTTTAAATTTAACCAAATGAAAGTACATATACAAATGCACTTAAAAAGTACATCTGAACTGACAAAAGAACTTAAAATGTATTTTATAGCATAGACAAACATTTCTTAGAAGTAAGCAATAAATTAAAGTAACTTTCATCAGTTTAATTTTATCTCCTGCAAAAATCACCAGACTTAGCTGCTCTTTGTCTTATTTATATTATAAATCTTTTATCTTCAAATCAAAGTGTTGATGACAGTAGTAGGAGATTGCCGGTTCTGGCTCATTTTCATTTTCAACCATATTTTCAACCATATATTTAATTAAATATATGGTTCATTTTCAAGCATAGTGTGTATAAATAGTATAATTAAGAAATAAATTTTTAAATCAATTTTTTAAATTTTAAAAATCATTTTAAATTATTGTTTCTTGTCGTCGCAGAATTTTCTTGTGTGACGTCACAGGTTCTGAAAGAACCCATGCTATGCTCGGTCACGTGACTTTTCAGTGCACATGCGCTATTTTATTACGCATAATAGTAGCATTGTCCTATCAATATTCTATGGGTCTCTTATAGCATATAATTCTAGTTCAGTTGCAGATAAGTTAGTGGCTGAATTATTTACGATATAATTATCGTATACAGGTATTACAGGTTGACCAGTAACTACTTCAAATTTTAAATTTTGACACACAGGTGCCCATCAACTAGATCCAGCTGTATCTAGTGTAAGTACTGCTCCAGAACTCATTAAGCTTTTTGTAGTTGTCAAATTTAATCCAGAAAATCCATTACCTGTATTTGTATTGCCGAATTGTTTCAGTTAATATGAGTTGTGCAATATTTTGATAATGCATAGACATCATTGGAAGAAATGCTTGTTTAAATATAATACTTTTCCAGACACTATTAATTTTATATTTCAAGCGATATTTATAATATCCATCGTTGTTTTTATATTGCCAGTTATTAAATAATTGGCTATATTTTGAAGCTGTAGATGGAGTGGAACTAATCTGATTATATGCTCCATAATATTTATTTGGAAATAAATCTGATGCTAATTGTCTAACAATTAGCGTTTCTCCTGGTATGTAAATTGGATAATAAATACTGTTAGCATATAAATTATTTTTAGCTACAATCAATGCATCATAGAATTTTTGAGCTAAAAACATTTGTTGACCCAAGTCGTAATGCATGATGTCTTTGTTTATAATTCTCATGGAAGGTGGAAGATTATTTATAGATATGCTTGAGGCGTGTGGAATATATTCTCCAATACTTGATAGTGCATTTTGAACTGGTATCGCCATTGTGGAATTAGCTGCAACCCATTCAGGTTGCATTTGAAAAGTAACGAATGGAATTGTATTCAATTTTGCTTGGGAATTCATTAACGTGAAGAACTGATTAGATGAATACGCTATATAATCTCTTATGGTTTGAATAAAATTTAATAGAATATATCTATAATTATCATTCTAACCAGCTATAGAATCTGTTTCTCCTTGACTCCAAGTTATACCATAAAATTCTGCGTTATAATGTGATAAAATATATCTAGTTCTACGAGTTAAATTTCTAAATCCAGTTCTGTAAGACATAAAATAATCATCACTAAAGCCTTTACCACCTAGCATACATGGAAGTATCAAATTTTCATCTGAATTTATAATACTTAATGAATTGAAGTAGTAGCATCTTGCATAATTAAAACGGCTAATATTGAACCGTATCCAGCATAACACATATTATCTGATTCATTTACTACTAGTCTAAGAGAACAAGGAAGTAACACATCATTTTGCCCATTATCCATTGCAAACTGTACTATTCGTCTATGCATATAATTTACATTAGTAAATTATATGCATAGAATTAGCCCATTCTCTACCATAATAAGTATTTGATTGTCCAGCTACAATCAGAATTTTATATTTATGTGGATAAGGAATTAGTCTATCAACATAACTCTTTGTAACAGCATCTTGCAAGTCAGTTGGATCAGCTAAATTGATTATTTTATGTGTATTGAGATCAACGTCTGAAGTTACTTTATTGTCTATATTAATATTAGGATTTAAACTGCTACCTGATGTGCTACCAAAAGCAGATAATCCATTCATTGAACTACTACCGAATATATTAATACTCATTTTATATACTCATTATTTTTATTTAATTAATTTTACATAAATCTGGATCCCTTCGGGATCTATATTGTTTTTACCAAAGTGAATTAATGATGCTTTGAAATTCATTTCCATCATTTAGTTTATTCAAGACATAGAGACACAAATGTCCGCAATAGGAAGTATTTCCAAATTGAACTTGTTCAGTATTATAGTAAACAGGACTGTGTAAGTATTGAACGAGTTTAACTGGTGGTGGTAGTCCATAAGAGTTGAAACTTAGTTTCTTATCTCCGTCTTTATACCAGCAAATCCAATGAAATCCATTTGTACTTGAATCTCCAGTATTTAATATTCCACATACTTTTTTTTTGTGTATTTTTAGGTAATTCATCTCTTACAAATACACCTCTAAAGTTTTTTATTTTTTATTTTTTTGCTGCTTTTATTAACTGAAAGTTTGTGAATGGTACATTTGGTAATATTATTCCTTCAACATTGATATGTTTGTTCATTTTTTATTAATAGTTTTAGATTTTTTTAGATCACATAGTGATCCGCGCTTCACTATAAAAAATTACTTACCTGTTTTATCTTATTTGAGACTTCGTTGTGCCTGCCTTCCTGCCTGTCTGTTTATTTCCCATCAATCTGAAATGAAAAGTTTGGTTTAGATTCCAAAGGAACCAATGCTTTGCTTTCTATATTTAATTTATAATGTCCATATGCTAATGTATGTATATCATCTTCTAAAATAACTCTTTTATCGTCTTCTGCACTTAATGCTATTTTGTTTATTTCTTCTGTGTAAACATCATGTAAATGAGATCTTATGACATTCATTTTTCTTATTTGATCTTTTCTATTCATAAGGCAGTCTTTGTAATCTTCATGTGTTATATATTTTTTAACTACATTTTTCTTTACTCCCATACATTTTTTTTTTATCATGTACTTTGTATGAATACAATTTTGATCTTAGACCTATTAATTCTTCAATTTGTTTTCCTGCTGACTCATCTTTAAACATACAAATAACTTTCTTATTTAGTCCTACTTTAAATTCATTTTGAATGGCTAGATGATTTTGTCAAATTCACTTGTATCAAATTTGCTTTCAACATCATTTGCAATATCAGCATAAAAGTCTTTTGTTTTTATTTCGTAGGCTAAAGAGTCTGTATCTGTGAATAACAGTTTAGCTCTTTCACCATATTTATTTTTTATGTAATCATAATGAAATTCATACATGAGTGTTTTAATCAAATCTAAAATACACATACCCAGGTAAATGGGTTTGTTATATAATAATTTTGTTCTTTTGATATTTATTGCTATCAAGTTTTCATCAAATATCGTTCTATTTTCATAGTTTGGTTTTGATGCTAATTTAATAGCTTCTTCTCTTTTAGTGATTAATCTAACATCAACTCTGTTTCAATGTTCTCCATTGTTTTTCTAAATACAGAATTGTTCATGAGTTTAAAAAAGTCTTTTTCAAAGTCGTTTGTTGCTTTTGCTCTTAGATTTGTATTGAGTTCAATATATTTACTTAACCATGCGCTCTCTTCAAACTTTATTCCTCTATGGGTTTTTGTTATTTTTAATCCTAATCTTTCATATAATTTCAAGTTTTCATAATGAATTATATAATTTTTTTTATTATTTAAATTGGGTACTAATTTTTCAACTTTAGATCCAGAGGAACTATTTTTAATCTTTCTATTTTTAATCTTTCAGGAGCAAGTGGATAATTATTATGCAAATCATGTAAATATTCAGGATATTATAAATCTACTTCTAATATACAAGAAATAGATTTCCAATTTTTCAATTCTTCTTCACTCATCCATAGAAAACCATTTGTAGGAAGGGGTTTACTCATAGCCCATCCGTATAAATTATTAGCATCTAGATACTGTATGTAGGTAGATTCTTTACTTTCATCATAGGTTTCCATATATTTATTATTTGGAAATGATGTTAGAAATCATACTAATTCCACCTCTTATTCCTTGTTTAATCATAAGAATCATGTCATAATCACTAAGCAGCTCTAATTTTACTTTAGACATTAACAATGCAGCATCCCAAGCTAATCCTGGTGATGTGTAATAACAAGCAGGATCTAACTTTTTAATCTAAGTTCTTTTTAATCTAGGATCTAAGTTTTTCATACAAAGATCTCTAAAATTTTCAAAGACATGAGCTAATAATAACACATCTGCAACATTGTATAAATTATGGTAATCTCTAAATGTTTTACAATTAAACTCTTTCCATACAGTTTGTGCATGTAAATAATCTTCATTGCTTATT